AGATAGAAGAAGAGTAAAAAAGAAAAAAAAAAAAAGAAAGAAAAGAGGGAATAGCGAGGAAGAATCGGAGCACGTTGGGAAAGCGAGGTAGAGCGGGGAAGAGCAGTGCGCACATTCTAACTTCGCAGCCGCCATATCGAGGACGCGAGGAGTAAGGAAGGAAGCTCGTCGAAGGTCGCTTTCGGGGAACACCTGGGTACAGCCCACAACCGTGTCGTTCCATGCTGGCTTCGAGCGGTGAACTAGGACCGGACACGGAAGAGAGAATGCGAGAACCTCCACACAGCCTGTGAAACATGATTTGTCATACAGATGCGGTCGCTGGTAATCGTACGACGAGAGACAACGACGACGAGGACGCCGACGGAGACGAGGATCACCGGTCTATCCAGCGTCGCGTCGATGCGTCGACGAGTCTCGATGACGCTCGCATGAGAGGCAACCTCGGGGCGGACGATAAGGCGCGTACGAACAACAAGCCAGCAGTCCTGCGTCGAGTGGCTTCCTTTTGTCCAGTCGAACGCCGAGCGAACCTGCTGGTCGTCGTCGACGGGCTTCCAAGCTGCTTACCGATCGCCGCGGATCGTGACGAACGACGACGCAGACAGCAGCCACATCGGCAACAGCAAAGGGAGAAGCAGCAGCAACAATCAGCGGCAGACAGGAAAACACGAGCACGGCATAATCTACGCTCGTCGAAGGCGTACCCGTGTTGTCGTGGCCAGCTGCGCCGATTACCAGGTGTCGGATGACTCCCCCCGTACGCTACAGCCTTCCCGTAGTCGTAGAAAGGACGCGATATCCCGTAGGAACGAGCGTTGTCGCGCGGCGAGCAATCCTCGTCGCGGTACCTCATCGGCGGCGTCGTCGGTGCTGCGCCGGCCCGCGCGTCGCGCTAAACTCCTCGCGATTAGACCTTCCCGTGCACGTTCCTATCTTACGTCCGTGATGGCGGCTGTACCTGATATGTCGCACCTCACCCCTGAGGAGAGGAGCACCATCGAGGAGGTTATAACAAGGCAGAAGCAGGAGGAGGAGAAGGAAAATGAGATTATGAGGTACGTCGGTTTCCCACTCTCTGTTGATACTTCTCTACTGACTCGTGTCTCACTGTGTCTTCATTTTTATTTATTTATTTTTTTCTTTCTATTAATTTCTTTTTACGATTAACGTAACAAGAGATGAGAGAATGAAAACGAAAGTAGGGTGACGATCGATTCTCCAACCATCGAGGATAACTTGACAATACAAAAACAAAGCACCCGATACTTGACTTAACGGACACGATAAAAACGAACTTTGCTATTTAAGGTAGACGAGTTTTCTTTCAGTTGCTTAGAGTAATGAAGAAACGTAAAATGATTTCTAAAGAACGTTCACGACGTTAGTATTATGCTTTTTCTCTTTCATTTGTCTGTCCCTTTCAACGAACCGGCTCTTAAACCGATAACGTCTTTGACGAAACGAACAAATAAACAAATGAAATTGGAAGTCAAGAGCGAAGCCTGTCGAGCAAGTAGTATAGAGCCTGAATGGTCAGACAGGCTGGGCAGAACTACAAAATGTGACCGTGGACGGTCACGCGTCGTTGATCAGAATTACTGAACGAACGAAACGATGCCCGATCGATCGAGTACGTGTATTTCTTGACCAGCAAATTGTCCCCTCCGACGCTTTCCGCCTATTTTCTTCGCTTACCTGCTCGTTAGTCCTTGACCGTTTTATACCTATCGTATCTTCCCTATTTAGGTATTCATCGTTACCTCGGATGATTATCCTGTCGATTCCCACGTTTATTCTGTCTATAAAAATTCATTCCCTTGAACTTCGTTTAACTTGATTAAATCACCCTCGCGCGGTTCTCTTCTAAATATTTTTTTCTTTCTAAAACTTTCCCCCCGTACCAGAGAAATATAATCGCGCAAATTACCGTGTCTTTCTAAAATTGTTCTTTCTGTTCCGGAGTAGCATAATTTAACTCAAATTTCTGACTTTTTGAAACCTTGTCTAAAACTATTTTTATAACTTTTCTCTCTCTCTCTCTCCAACTCCAAGATTTTCCCCTCTTTCTCAGAGAAGTAAGTCTCTATTTTTTTTAGAAACTCTCTCTCTCTTTCCCTCTCTCGATGTACAATTATAGCAAACATCTAGAACGAATCTTCCGTAAGATTGATCCGCGGGACGGGATTCTCCCTGAAACTTTCCATCGAACAGCGAAACGAATCGACGAAAACTGATCCTTTTAACGGGAAGACCGGGGTAGCTAGCCGTTGCAAGAGGCAGCGGGTGACGGATGCGCCAGCAGCCTCATTCGCATGTAATTACGGTGCCAGAGTCGCAGCGAGGCGACGCCGAGGAAAATGGACGGCGTTCTTCGAGGAAGGCGTTTTATTGATAGGTTGTCGCTGATGGAAAACGGGAACGTGAGAAAGCAGTCGAGCGTGCAACAAAGACAGAAACCCGGCTAGTGTGTATGTGTGTGTGTGTGTGTGTAAGTGAGATAGAGAAAGAGAAAGAAAGATAGACGAAGACCCAAAGCAGACAGGGAGATAGAGAGACAGAGAGAGAGAGAGAGAGAGAGAAGGAGACAAAGAACAGGGTGAAAGAGGGGTGAATCGAGAGAGCGAGTGAGCAGCAAAAGGGTGGAGGGAATGAACACAGAGGCAAAGAGAGAGAGAGAGAGAGAGAGAGTAATGAGGAAAGCGTGCTTCGCCATACCGATGCGAGATCATGTAATGTGAACGACAAGTACGTGTAGGGACGCATGTAAAATGCAAGGCAGCAAGCCTTGACGTGGCTCGGTAACGAGCTGCTGTAGTTGCACAGGGTATGCATAGGGTATGTAGCTGCAGACCGTAGATGGAGCGTGAAAGAGGCTGGATTGGCACGGTAAATTCTTAGATCCTGAAATATAGACAGGGGTGGCCCGGCCGCGGAAGGGTGACGGCGTTTTACAACAATCAAGCGAATACAGCGTGCGAGTTGGCTCTCTGTTGCTCGACACGTTGGTGGTCGGCGACTATATAGAGAGAAGGACGGAACCCCTTTGATATCGCGATGATAATTTTAGTCCCGGTACGGATGGGAGTTTCTCACGTCGTGGCGCATCACAAGGCGACTCGCGTAAAAATAGACGTAACCTTTCTCGTCCCTCGCTTTTTAGGCTGGGCAAGTGCGTGCGAACCGACGTAATTCTCCGATATAATTGACGTCGGACTGTGTTTTCAACGTCGCTAATTCTACGTCTACCTTTCACCTTAACGAGTAACATTCTCCGATATCTTTCTCTCCTCTCCCCTCTTCGTGGACATTCGCAAAGCTCGGGCGTGTAACAAGACCGAATAAAGTTTGAGCCGTGAACGAGAAAGAAAAAAAAAAGAAAAGAAAAAGAAAAAAGGAAGAAAAAAAAAATGAAACGGAGCCTCGAATGGACGGAAGATTCGCCGCGTCGCGCGAAAGATTGGCCAGAGAGAGAGAGAGAGAGAGAGAGAGAGAG